TTTGCCCAGGTAGACCACCACCCTCTGAGTGACCTCAGCTGGAGGGGAAGCGATAGCCCCACGCACAGGAATTACCTGCTCCAGGCCACGGTGCTTAAGCCCGAGTGCTGTTTACAGATTGATTAGATTAAGAACCCATTGTTTAATGGCTGATTATTTTAGCATCTTTAGCATTCAAAGAAGCAGCTAAGATGGGAAGACAAAGAAATAGACCCCAAAATGAAAGGACAAGAGAATTTTCCAGAAGAACTAAATGAAATGGAAGTAAGCAATTTATCAGATTGACAGTTTAGAGCAGTGATTATAAGGATACTCAACAGCATGAAAAAAGACATAGGAACCAAAAAAAAGGATCAGTCAGTAATGAAGAATGCAATATCTGAGATAAATAATACACTGGAAGGAATAAACAGCAGGTTAGATGAAGCAGAGGCTCAAATAAGTGATTTACAAGGCAAGGTAGAAAAAACAATCAGGCAGAGCAGAATAAGAAAAACAATTTTTTTAATGAGGAGAGCTTAAGAAACATCTTGGACAACATAAAGCATGACAATATCCACATCATGGGAATACCAGAAGGAGAATAGAGAGACATTCTCTATTTGGAGGGATTGAGAACATATTTGAAGAAATAATAACTGAAAACTTCCCTAATCTGGTGAAGGAAAAAGCCACACAAATCTAGGAAGCTCAGAGAGTACCAAACAAGTTAGACCCAAAAGGCCTACACCAAGACACATCATAATTAAAATGACAAGACTTAAAGACAAGGAGACAATCCTAACAGTCACAAGAGAAAAGCAGGTGCTTACCTAAAAGGAGCACCAATTAGACTGTCATCTGATTACTCATCAGAAACATTTCAGACCAGAAAGGAGTGGCATGAAATAGTCAAGATGATGAAAAACAAGGACCCACAACCAAGGCTACTTTACCCAGCAAGGCTATCATTTAAAATCAAAGGAGAAATAAGGAGCTTCCCAGACAAGAAAATGCTAGAGGAGTTTGTTAGCAGCAAACCAATACTGCAACAAATGTTCAAGGGCTTGCTTTAAGAAGAAGAAGAAAAAGAGAAATGGTGGAAAAACCCAGAGGAAAACCCTCAAACAATAAAATGGCACTACAAACTATCTATCAATAATCACCTTAAATGTACATGGCTTAGATGCGCCAAACGATAGACAGAGGGTAGCTGAATGAATAAGAAAACATGATGCGTATATATGCTGCCTCCAAGAGACACACCTCCGATCAAAAGATATACACAGACTAAAATGAAGAGATGGAAAAGGATATTTCATGCAAATGGAAAGGATAAAAATCCTGGAGTAGCAGTACTTATATCTGATAAAACAGAGTTTAAAACCAAGGCTATAGTAAGAGAAAAAGAAGGACACTACATAACGATAAAGGGAACAACCCACCAAGAGGATATAACCCTATTAAACAGTTAAGGACCCAACATAGGAGTACATAAATATATAAAGCAAATACTGATGGACATAAAGGGAGGGACTGACACAAATACAGTCATGGTTGGGGATGTTAGCACCCATTGGACATCAATGGCTAGACCTTCCAGGAAGAAAATCAACAAGGAGACAAAGCCTTAAATGACACACTATATCAAGTAGATTTAATTGATATCTTCAGAGCATTTCACCCCAAAGTAGCAGAATATACATACTTCTCAAGAGCACATGGAACATTTTCTAGAATAGACCACAGCTAGGACACAAAATAAGTCTCAATAAATTTAAGAAGATTGAAATCATACCAAGCAACTTCTCTGACCATAATGCTATGAAATGAGAAATAAACTACAGAAAGAACACTGAAAAACATACAAAGACATGGAAGTTAAATAACATATTATTAAACAATGAATGTGTCAACAATAAGATCAAGGAAGAAATCAAAAGATACCTTGAAATAAGTGAAAATGATGACACAAGAATTCAAAATCTGTGGGACACTGGGAAAGCAATCCCAAGAGGGAAATTCATAGTATTACAGGCCTATCTCAAAAAAGTAAGAAAAAGCTCAACTAAACGATCTAACTTCACACTTAAAGGAACTTGTAAAAGAAAAACAAAGACCAATGTGAATAGAAGGAAGTAAATAATTAAGATCAGAGCAGAAATACATGAAATAGAGTCTAAAAAAATAATACAAAAGATCAATGAATTCAAGAGCTGGTTCTTTAAAAAGATAAACAAGATTGGCAAACTAACCAGACTTATCAAGAAAAAAAGAGAAAGGACCCAAATAAATAAAATCAAAAGAAGAGAAATAACAAATAACACCAAAGAAATACAAAGGATTGTAAGAAAACATTATGGACAATTATATGTCAACAAGCTGGACAACCTGGATGAAATGGATATATCCCTAGAAACATATAATCTTGCAAAAATAAATCAGGGAGAATCAGAGAATTCTAATGGACAGATTATACCTAGTGAAACTGAAGCAGTAATCAAAAAACTCCCAACAAACAAAAGCCCTGGACCAGATGGCTTCACAGGTGAATTTCACCTAACATTCCAAGAACTCAGGATAGTTCTTCTCAAACTATTTCATAAAATTCAAGAGGAGGGAAGGCTCCCAAACTCATTTTATGAGGCCAGCATTATCCTAATTCCAAAACCAGATAAAGACACTGCAAAGAAATAAAGTTATAGGCCACTATCACTGATGAACATAGATGCTAAAATCCTAAACAAAATATCAGCAAATCAAATACAGCAATGCATCAAAAAGATCATACACCATGATCAAATGGGGTTTATTCTGGGAATGCAAGGATGGTATGACATTCACAACCAATAAATGTGATTCACCACATAAACAAACTGAAGGATAAAAACCATATGATTATTTCAATAGATGCATGAAAACCCTTTGATAAAATCCACACTATTTATGACAAAAAGTCTCAGCAAAGTGGGAACAGAAGGAAGAGACCTAAACATAATGAAGGCTATATATGACAAACCCACTGCCAGCATCATACTCAACTGGCAAAAACTGAAAGTGTTCCCCTTAAGATTGGGAACAAGACAAGGATGTCTGCTTTCACTTCTCCTATTCAACATAGCACTGGAAGTCCTAGCCACAGCAATCAGCAAGAAGAAGCAATAAAAGGCATCCATATTGGAAAGGAACAAGTAAAACTGTCTTTATTTGCAAATGACAGGATATTGTACATAGAGAACCCCAAAGATCCTACCAAAAAACTGATAAGTGAATTCAGCCAAGTAACAGGATACAAAATTAACATTCAGAAATCACTTGTATTTTTATGTGCCAATAAAGAAAGAACATAAAGAGAAATTAAGAAAACAATCCCATTCCCAATTGCTTCAAAAAGAATAAAATACCTAGGAATAAACCTAACCAAGGACATAAAATACCTATACTCAGAAAATTAGAAGACACTGAAGAAAGAAATTGAAGAAGATAAAGTAAGTGGAGGCACATACTATGTTCATGGATAGGAAGAATCAACATCATTCAAATGTCCATATGACCCAAAGCAATCTATAGATTCAACACACTTCTTGTCAAGATTCCAATGATGTATTTCACAGAACTAAACAAATATTTCAAAACTTTATATGGAACCACAAAAGGCCCTACACAGCAACAGCAATCCTGAAAAAGAAAAACAAAGTTGGAGGAATCACACTACCTAACTAATGTCAAACTATACTACAAAGCCATAGTAATCAAAACAGCCTGGTACAGGCATAAAAACAGACACATAGATTAATGGAACAGAATAGAGAGGCCAGAAATAAACCCATACATTTATAGTCAATTAATATTCAACCAAGGAAGCAAGCACACACAATGGGCTAAAAATAGTCTATTCAATAAATGATGTTGGGAAAATTGGACAGATATGTGCAGGAAAATGAAACTAGACCATCTTCTTACACTACACATGAGAATGAATTCAAAATGGATCAAAGACTCAAATGTTATACCCCAAATCATAAAACTCCTAGATGAAAAAATAGGCACAATCTCAGACATTCCTTGTAGATATTTTTTATTGGATATATCTCTCCAGGCAAGAAAAACGAAAGAAAAAATAAACAAACGGCACTTCATCAAATGAAAAAGTTTTTGCACTGCAAAAGAAATCAACAAAATAAAAAGACAACTCACAGAATATACATTATTTTCAGATGTATCTGAAATCATATTTGCTGATACATCTGATGAGGGGTTAATATCCAAAATTTATAAAGTACTTACAAAATTCAATACCCAAAAAAACACAAAAAACACAATTAAAAATGGGCAAAGGACCTAAATAGACATTTTTCTAAAGAGGACATACAGGTGGCCAATAGACATATGGAAAGATGCTCATCACTAATCATCAGAGAAATGCAAATAAAAACCACAACGAGATATCATATCATACCTGTCAGAATACCTATCATCAATAAATTAATGAACAACAAGTACTGGCAAGCATGGGGAGAAAGGGGGAGACTTTTGCACTGTTGGTGGAAATACAGACTGGTGCAGCCACTGTGGAAAGCAGTATAGAGATAATTCAAAAAAATTAAAAATGGATCTGCCTCTTGACCCAGCAATCCCACTTCTGGGAATATCTGAAGGAACCCGAAACACTAATTTGAAAGAACATAAGCACACGTATGTTTGTGGCAGTGTTATTTACAATTGCCATATATGGAAGCAGCCCAAGTGTCCATCAATAGGTGAGTGCATAAAGCAACTATGGAAAATTCACACAATGGAATACTTCTCAGCTGTAAAAAAGAAGAAAATTTTACACTTTGCAACACTATGGGTAGACCTGGAACATTATACTAAGTGAGATAAGCCAGTCAGAGAAAGACAAATACCATATGATTTCACTCACAGGTGGAATCTAACAAACAAACTGAACTAACCAGCAAAAGAGAGACAGACTCATAGATGGAGAACAGATGACAGCTAGTGGGAGGTGATTAGGGGGCGGAGAGATTGAGCAAAAAGGAAAAAGGACTCATGGGCATGGACAACAGTGTGGTGATTGCTGTTGGTTATCACCAACAAAGGGGACTAAATTGTTGGAAAAAAATATAAAGATTATATAATTTTTTCTTGATTTTCTTAATTATTATATTCTCAGTTATTTGTGGTTTTTTTTACATTCTTTGATGAGGATTGGGTATTTGTCAGTCAAGTTGTCATCTTAAATAATGCCACCATCTCTTTTTGTCATTAAATCTACAGAAAGAATCCCCAGTTCCTTCTTGTATTTAAAGAGCCATATGTTTTACATAGAAAGGCACATGCCCAAAAGGATTTGTAAACATTATCACACCTCTTGTTCATTCTGCCCATTATCTTCAAGTTGTCTTTTGGTGCAGTACACTCATTCTGAAATTTGATAACCAAAAATTGTCTTCAAAATAATTCTTTAACTTGACTTGTTTGCTTTTTAACAATAACTTCAGTAGTGATCAATTTGCATGCCCTTTGTGCAGGAGTCAGAGTGCAGAGGCAAAACGAGTTGGCTTTACTAACAAAGAATCACTGGGTCTCACACACAGCCCCCGACCTTTCTCATCCCTCCTCCCTAATCACAAGGTCAACAGTCATGTCCTCTTCCTCCTCCTCCTCCTTCTTTTCCTTCTTCTCCTTCTCCTTCTTCTTCAGTGGTTCCTCAAACTAGGGCTCATGGCTTCAAGGTCCTTTATTTGGAAAAAAATGGCAACAACTGATAGAAGTTTAGGAATACGTGTACCTGTAGATTTGCAATATGTGAGTTAATCTCAACTCAAGACATTCACGATTACATCACTACCTACAGTGGAGTCTGGTGTGGCTCCACACCTGAGCAGAGGGTCACCCACATCATAACTACCTGGAGGCCTGTTAAACTCAAAGCATCCTGCATCCGACACCTGACTCCACACATCAGATTCTCTGTAGGTTAATGCGCACTTGCCGCTTTTCCCACCCCCTTCCATGTGTTAAGATTTGAGAACCACTTATTAGACCATGTCTAAAATCATACATTTTAAATGAGGATGTTATAAAATACATGTGGATTGACCTCCAGTAATTCTTAAAAGTCTGATCAGTGGTTTTAGTCTGGAACATTCTATTGCAGTGTCTTAATAACTATTGACTATAATCCATAGTAAAAATACATTCATAAACACATTGTCCCTCAAGCTCCACACACACACACACACACACACACACACACACACACACAACTGAAACACAACCTACCCTTACTCCCTGCAACACACTCAGCTCTTTCTTCTTTCCTTCTGTCTCCCTCTCTGGCTCTCACCGTCTTTTTCTTTTGATGCTTGCCAAGACCTACTACTTTAATTTCTGAGCACATTAAGGGGTCATGACCTATGGTTTGAAAACAGTTGGACTTAGAGTTCCCGTTAGTATACGAGTACTTACAATTTCAGAAACAAAACAACAGTCATCTCTAGTTCCTTGGTCATTCTATCTGTAGACTCTCCTAAGAAGGAAATTTACATAGCTTTCAATGAATTCTAGTTCATTTAAATTATATTATTTTTGCTACCAACCAAATATGTGATATTTCCACTGCTTTTTCTTTAAGCCAGAGCCAATCTATACCTGCATAGCAATGCAATCTGATACACTTAAATTTACCATGTATCTTGACAACAGAAATCTGAATACAGGTGAAAGGCAAATTAAAAGCACTAAAGGCAATTCAGTTACTAGTTTCTTAAAAATAATAGACATTTATTATTTTCCAATTTTATTCTGTTGGAATATTTAGTTGATGTCATTGACTTTGCACCATGTATAAAGTATTTGGGGGAAAGGTGAAATAGATGTACATGCATTTAAAATATATTTATTTAAATGTATATTCTGCTTTTGCATCAGTTTTGGCTTTATGCTAAATGAGTAAGAAACTATCCTCTTTTATAAAGGAGACATTTAAAATGTTGCTATTTTGTATGTCCCAATTCACCAAACATAAATTTCTCCCAGTATGAGGAAATCCAGTGCTCAGGGGCTAATTCTCATTCATTCATTCATTCATTCATTCATTCAACAAACATTTATTGGGCATCTACGATGTAGCAGTCACTGTTTCAGGTGCTTGAGATACTTGCAGTACAAAATAGGTACCTGACTTCATGGAACTTGCATTCTATACAGTAAGAGAAGACAAATGCCAATCAAACCAAACATCTTAAACAATTCAAATATCTAGTATGTTAGAAGTTGATAAATGCTATGGGAGAAAAGAAAAAAAATAAATATAGATAAGAAAGATTAAGAGTGCTGGTGGTAGCAGAAGGTTGCAACTATAAATAGGTGGTCCAGGTAAAACTCATTCAAAAAGGTAAGACTGAGTATAGACCTGAAGGAGGTGAGCTAACTAGCCAACTGGAAGAGTGTCCCACGCACAGAAAATAGCTCATGCAAAGGTCCCAAGTTAGGAGCATACTTAGCATGTTCAAGGAACAATACAGAAGGAAGTATGGCCCCAGGGAAGTGGGGGAGGAAAGGAAGAAGAGGCACTAGAGAAAGAACAGTGGGTGGAATCATCAAAGACCCCATGGGCCATTTTACGGACTTTGGCTTTTACTGTGAATGAGATAGGAAGCCACTGGAGGGCATTTGACAGAGTAGTAACATAATCTGCTATAGTTTGAAGACTGATTCTGGCAGTTATCCTGGGAATAGAATGTTGGGGAAGAGGAGACAGAAATCCAATCAAGAGATGGAGATCCAGCCATCAGTGGACATGCTAACAAATGGTCAAACTGTGAATACATTTTGAAGGTGTAGTTAGTGGGACTTGTAGGTGGTTTGGATGTGATATGAGAAAAAAAGTTTTGTGTTGTTTTTTAATTTGTGTACCTGGAAAGATAAAGTTGCCATCACTTGAGATGAAGTGTTAGTTTTCTATTCCTGGGTTAACAAGCCACTCCTAAGGATGTACCTTAAAGCATCAACCATTGTATTATGCTCTAGGATTCTGTGGGTCGGGAATCCAGACAGAACACTGTGGGAATGGCTTGTCCCTGCTCCATGATGTCTGGACACTGGCTGGGATGGCCCAAATAGTTACAGGGGGCGGGGGAGTCACTTGAATAGCCAGGGCTTGGAATCATCTGGAAGTTCCTTCACTTATGTGCCTGGCACCTGGGCTGGGATGACCGAAAGGCTGAGTCAACCAGAAAACTTACATCTGGTCTGTCCATGTGGCTAGAGCTTCTCACAGCATGGAGGCTGAATTCCAAAGGACAGAGTCTGCAAATGGAGCATTTCGAGAGGAACCATGCCAAGAAGGGGCTGTTCCAAGAGAACTGGGCAAAAGTGGCACAGCCTCGTATGACCTCATCTCAGAAACCACGGAGCCTCAGTTCTACTGTGCAGACTCTGCTGGTAAAGCAGTCACCAATCCCAGCCAGATGAAAGGGGTGGAAACCTAGACCATACTTCTTTAATGGAAACAATAGAAAAGAATTTGTACTCATTTAAAAAACTACCACGGATTGGAAGACTGTGGGTAGACAGGTGCAGGCATGATGGGGGAGATCAAGATTCAGTTCTAGACATATGAGTTTCAGATGCTTGTTTAACCTCTAAGTGGAGAGGTCAAGTGTCTAAATCCTCCCTGGGGACTGGGAGATTTTATTATTGGCTTAGTTCTAAATTTTCCTCATCATGATAGGAAACTTAAAATAAATGAATTCCATGTACAATTTGTTACAAGTCAACTGCATACGGCAGTTGACCCCCCTCCCCCCGCCTCTGCCCAGGGGTGACGTGTCCACTCCCCCAGGCAACCTGGCTTGTGCACCTGAACATTTGCTTCCCTCAAAATCGCTTGCTCTTCCTTGGTTTCTCCAAGGTTGATTGTGGTTACTTTGTTGGTAACCAAGATTATTTTAACATTGACCAAACAAACATTTTTCCTTTTCACCCTCAACAGCTTCTCCACTTTCTCTGTTTCCTAACCCACACCCCCCACTCCCACCAAGCCTCATCCATCGCATTTCCTCTGATGCTACCACGGAGCACTATGGGGTGGTTCAGGACCACGGAGAGCGCAAGGAAGGGGCGCTCCCAAAGCATTCTAGTCAAGCAGATGGGGGAAGAGGGGGAATAGTTGCTGCACAACTTCACTTAAAGGATACTACTATAAAGAATAAAAGGGGAGGTCTGACTTCATGATATTTGGGAGGAATGCTTTTTTCTGGACATTCAGGCAGTGCTTTCTGAACTTCACTGAATTCCATGTAATGACGGAGGAGAAGACACCAAAAGCAGGGGTAGCTAGAAGTTGCCAGTGCAAAACGCCTTTTGAAGTTTCATGTTTATAATTTGCTACCTTTTGTGTAAACTTTCATACTGTCGACGGTTATGAGACCTAGCAATATACCACAGAAGAGAACTAAGTCATATAGAGGTATGCAGAGTTCAAAATTGAAAGGAGCGTGTACGGGTCACAGTCCTAGGTCCTCAACACTGCCCTAGAATCTGTAGCTCATCTTTCAAGTCTATGAATTACCTCGAATCCTTTTGATAATTATCCTCAATTGCTCTTTTAATTTTTCATCAGCTAGTTTCTTTTTCTAGTTTTTATTGATTGATTTCAGAAAGAGGAAGAGGGGGGATTATCAATTTCTTGTCCACTTATTATAGTTGATTGGCTGATGCATTCATTGGTTGATTCTTATGTGTGCCCCTGACCAGGGATCCAACCCACAAACCTTGGTATATCTGGTCAGTGCTCTAACTGATTGAGAGCTACCTAGCTGGGGCTTCCTTCGGCTAGTTCCATTTGAGTTTTGTCATTTGCAGCTGAGCGTGTCCTACTAATGCAGATGGGTAGGATTTAAGACAAATGAGAAGAAGGGTAATTCTAGGTTCAGAGCAAAACAAGATTACGGGCAAGGAGGCAGGAATGTAGCTTGGGGATTTCTGGGACAGTGAGAAAACTGGCTTAAGAAAATTGAGTGGTTTATAAAGAATATATTTAAATGACTTCTCTATACTACAACTGAGTAGGAGTATAAATTCTTTCAGCCTCTTCAGAAAGCAGTTGAACAAGAGCTATAAAAATTCCAAAGGCATATGCCATTTTACCTAGTAATTCCATTTCTGGAAATGAATTCTATAGAAATAACCATGCGTGGATATTCATGGAAGTGATATTTTATCACAGAGGGTGACTGAAAATAACATACATGTCCATTAACAGAAAACCTGTTAGGTAAGTTAACCACATTTACATGTTGACATATTGCATAGCCATTAAAGATAATTCAGTAGATCTATGGAACAATCCACAGGAAAAAAAGGCAAGGTGCAAAATTATCATAAATGTCATCCTTTGTGATTTTTTAAGAAAAACACACGTACTTTTTTATATACATAGGAAAATTCTGAAAGGCAAGTAAGAAGTCTTAGCAATGGTTTTCCCTGGGAGAGGATCACCTGTTCCTTCTTCCATATTCTCTTATATTGCTTGTTTTTTAAAAATACACCCATGCATTAGTTCTTGAATTAAGCTACTATAACTAAATATAACTAAAGTATAGGACAATGAAAACTTTAATGATGTATATTATCACTTTCTTATGAATTTCTATGTAGGCATTGTTTTAAGCTAATATATTATTTCATTCAATCCTCACAACAACCCCGTGAGGAAGGTGTTTTCCACAATTTGCACTTGAGGTTGCTGCAAGTTAGGCACTGGAGCTCAGTCTTAGTGCCACGGTTCCAAACTCTGGTCTCAGAGCCCTTGTGTTTCACCCCATTCTCCCTTTGCCTCTCTGAGTCACCCTGATTTTGCTGTAATGCCTCCCCAAAGGCAGATTTCTGTGGACAAAACCTAAATATCCTTGCAGACTATCAATGACATCCAATAAGGTCTTGCTTCATAATGGCTAATACAATAAGTCACAAAATAAACTTTTCCTTCTATCACAGGTGTTTAGATTTGGTGTAGAAGATTTCTTACACTGGCAGTTAAGGTACACACCACCTCATACATTTCATTGCAGAGCAATGTATAAGGATGGGCTCTCTCCAGCAGTGGGTGCCATTGAATTGTTTGATCGGAATGATGACAGAGTTGGACCTTCATGTTAAATGGATCATGCATGTAGTTTTGGCAGATGGATTTAAAAGAGAAGAGATTAGAAACAGGGAGGTGGTTGACATGGAAATTGGTTGGGCATCTACCCAGCATTCACTTTACTCCTTCTTCTGCCAAGAGCACCTTGATATCTTGTGGGTCAATCATGGAATGGCACCTGGTTTAGGTCTTAGATCTGAATGGCTTTAGTTCAACTGATTCTGCCACATCCCATCATTGTAAGTGTTGACATCTTATTTAACTTCCCTCCTATCTCCAGTATCAGTAATATGGGAATACTAGTATACAGTGTAAGGACAGAACCTACCATACACTTCACATAGTGGTGAGGATCTGAGAAATCCCATCCTCCAAGAAGG